ACCTCTACATGCCTCCAGTTACTCCAGTCTGGTTTTTGTGGTTTTTTTCTTCCTTTGAGTTCTACAACCCATTTGACCTCATCTCATAATCCTAGTTCACAGAACATGGAATTCGTGCGTGTGCACGCATGCTCTCTCTCTCTCTTTCTCCTCTCTCTCTCTGCTTCTGTCTCTCTTTGTCTCTCTCTCTGTATATACATATACATATATTCATACACACACAGACACTTCAGATCTCTTAGAGTTGTGAGACTTAGGTGACTACAACTTTTTTTTTAAAGAATGTATTTATCAAACATGTATCTTCTACAATAAGGAGCACTAATTTGTTAAATATGAAGATATAAATTTTGGTTTAATAAAATGAAATCTATAATTTCATTATCATTTAGATAATAAAAAAATATATATGGCCTATAAATTGTTGAATTATTATCCTTAATAAAAATAAGATATAGATGGATAGTCAACCCTCATTACTTGCAGATCCTCATTATTTGTGAATTTGCCTACTTGCTAGAATTTATTTGTAACTTCAATGCTTCTGCAGTCATTTGTGAACATGCACAGAACAGCAGAAATTTGGGTTGCCTGATATACATGTACCCAGTTAAAGTTGAACATGGGGATGTCTCCTTGTTTTAGCTCCCATATTGTAGATAAATGCCCAATTTGTGGCCTATTTAGTGTCATATTTTTCACATTCGTGTGCCTTTGGTTGATCATTTTGCTGTTTAAAATGGCCCCCTAGCATAGTTCGAAAGTGTTGTCTAGTGTACCTAAGCCCAGAAGGCTTTCATGTGCCTTATGGAGAAAACACATGTGTTATATAAGCTCCATTCAGGTAAGAGTTCAATGTTAATGAATCAACAATATGTATTAAATAAGGTGTTTTTAATCTGAAACACACAGCAAACAAGATTATGTATTGATCTGTTGATGAGAATGTTGTGGCTAGAGGCTGACAGGAACCTAATCTAATGTATTTGCCCCAGAAGCAGTGGTTCAGTATTTTCTAACCCAGTGTTTGTGGTTACATTATAGAACATGACTACTGAAAATAATGAGAATCGACTTTGTGTGTGTGTTTCTTAAATCTTCAAAGACTAGAGATATTTACCAAGTTAGAGAGATACCTAATTTTCAGAATCAACACTTCATATAACATGTACATATTAATAGCTCAGGATCCATTTCTGGGAACATAGAATTCACAGGTTTGCAGTGGTAGATTGTTAAATCTCACAATCTAACCGATACAAACTGAAAAATAAAAATATATACATTTTGACACTTGAATTCATATCTTACATTTGCAAAGTTTTCCTTTTTATCTCTGCGAAGTTTTTTTTTTACAATTATTATGTTTAATTCTCACTAATAGAGCAGTCTATGCATACTAAAGTTTGAGAACCATAAGTCTAAAACAGCAATTCCCAAACCTGGGTACACATAATAGTCATTTGGAAAGATCATTTAAGATAATAGTTCCATTGCCCCACCTCAGTCACTCAATCAGTACCTTCTGGGATGCTGTTGTAAATGTAGAAAACCCTCAACACTCGTGTATACACTATAGAACTAAATTTGTTTTCCCTTTATAACTAGCTCTTAATGATTAAGACTGTATGGAAAGCAAGTGTCCTGTCTCACCTGATACAGCTCTCAAAGCAGGAAGCAGCTGTCCATCACACTTGAAGACATCCTGTCTCCCCAACACATTTACCTCTATAAATTACAGCCCTCAGTCAATTGGGGAGGTGGCTAGGAATTTACCCTCTGTCTCCCGGTTGATGTCTTACGAAGTAAAAAGCCTTCCCTTTAAGTTCTATCTGGTGGGTGTGATTGGCAATCCTATAGCAGTGACCCACACAGGTCAAAAGATTCCCACAGGCCTCATTTACTACCACTGTCTAGGAATCTCTATGGACAAACTGGGAGCTTCATTAAGGAGACAATCATGTGGGAACCATCATTTGTTTTAGGTTGCTTTGATATATGGGATAGAGTCCTCAATGGTTGTGAAAACAAATGGAATGTCCTCATCACAAAGAAATGATTACCTTTCATGATGATGAATATGCTAATTACCCCGACTTGATCATCATACATTGTATACATGTATTGAAATTCAACTCCATGCCCCACAAATATGTATAATCAGTACATTGCAAAAAAATAAATACCACAGTAAAAAAGTTATAAATAAATAATAAAAATAAATATATATTGCTTTTATAATTAAAAATAAAAAACAAACAAAAAAACCAAATGGAAGCTACCAAGTTGTATTATGTGAAAAATCCCTAAAGGAACATTCTACATTAATTTTTCCCCAAAAAATCAGTGGTCCAGATTTTTCCACCAACCCACAGTTTTTAGAATTACACATTAGTATAAAGCAACTGTTGTTTCCATATTCAATTGTCTCCCCAGTATCTCATTTGAGTGTGTAACAGTCATGTCAGACTCAAAATGTGTAAAACTGAGCTTCTGATCTTTCCCCTCAAACCTTTTCTGATCACATCTCAAATAACAGCAATGCAAATATTCCAGTTGCCCAAACCCTAAACGCTGGTACTATTTTTGGCTACTTTTGTTTTTTCACACCTCGTAAGTATTCAATGAGCAAATCTAACCTCCTTGCCCCTCGATATTGCTATTATCCTGGGAAAGAAGCCTCCATTATGAACTCTTTCCTGTATTCTTGCATTACTTGGAATGGTTTGCTAACAGGTCTCTAACACCCATTATATATATAGGCATTTCCCAGCCCAGGAGCAATTGTGAGCCTGCTAATGGAAGTCAGATTGCACCTACCATTGCATAGAACTCTCCAATGTCTTTTCACCTCATTCGGAGTAAAAACCAAAGACCTAACAACATTGTTGTAGAAACCCTTGACTCTTCCCTCTCTGCCCACCCCCTTGACTCTCTCCTCTCTTACTATTTCCCACTTAGTTGCTGTACTCCAGCTACCCTGGATTTGTTGATGATTTTGGAACACACATGGAAAGAAAGGTTTTTTTCTCCAGATACTCATTGCCCACTTTGAAGTAGCAAATCCTTCTCTGCAACACACCCTGCCTCAACTTAATATTGCTTTTTTTCTTCTGTTTTGCTCCATAAAACTTTGACTTTCCTACACAGCACTGTGTAATATATCTTTCTGTAATGAGGGAAAGGTTCTATGCCTGTGATGATCAATACATTTCCTACTAGCCAAGAGGCTACTGAGCAGTTAAAATATGGCCAGGGAGATTGAGAAACTCCATATTTAATTTAATCTTTTTTAATTGAATTGTTTAAATTTAAATTTGAAGTTTTAAAATGCTTTCAAATTTATTTAATTTTATAATTAGTTTTAATTAAATTAGAATGTAAATAGGTACTTATTGCTAGTGGCTACCTTACTGGACAGCACAGTTCATCTAGAATTCATTTTTGATGAGGAAGAGATCAATATTCTTTTTTTGATTTATTTGCACAATTTCCCCCAGCACAACTGGTTGAAAAGACTATCTTTTCTTCCATCACTGCACATCAATGTCACCTTTGCAACAAATCCATAATCCATATATGAGTGAGTCTGTTTCTAGATTCTCTATTTTGTTTCATTAGTCTATTTGTTTATCTTGGTGCCAACCATATACTATTTTACTTAGCCTATTATTATAATGTCTTTATATACGATAGAGTTGAGTTTTTCAACTTTTTCCTTCAAAATTGATTTGGTTTTTCATGTTCCTTCACATTTGCTCATAAATTTTAGAATCAGCTTGCCTGTTTTTACCAAAATAATCAACCAACCAAACTACAAACACCCTGCTGGAATATTAATTTAGGTTGCACTGATTCAATATCTAGTTAGGAATAACTGACATTATACAATATTGAGTCTTCCTTTTCTCTCTCTCTCTCTCTCTCTCTCTCTCTCTCTCTTTTTAGAAGATGACCAGTAAGGGGATCTTAACCCTTGACTTGGTGTTGTCAGCACCAAGCTCTCCCAAGTGAGCCATGGGCCAGCCCTACAATATTAAGTCTTCTAATCAATGAAAATTTTATATTCCTCCATTTATTTAGAATTTTAACTTATCTAAAGAACACTTTATACTTATCTGTGTAGAAGCCTTGCACATTTTTCATTAGATTTACTAACGTATGTTAGAGATTTTTGATGCTATTGAAAACATTAAAGGTCATTTTCTAATTGCTTATTGCTGGTATACAGAAACAAAATTTTTATATGAATCTGATATCCAGTGATAATCTTAAATTTTAATAGTTTATCTGTAGATTGCTTAGAATATTCCTAATACATAACCAGGTCATCTAAAAACCTTTGTTGTTCCTTTCCAATACTTACATATTTCATGTATTTCTCATGCTTGATTGCACTGGCTAATATTGCCAATGCAGTGGAACAGAGTAGTGTGAATGCTGACAACAGGACTTTCGATATTTTACCAAAGACTGTGATATATGCCATAGGTTTGTTAGTGAATACTCTATCAAATTAAGAAAATTTCCTTCTATTTGTAATGTATTGAGTTTTTTAATGTTATCATTAAGGATGTTAAATTTAATCAAACATATTTTCCGTGAATATTAATTCGTATGGAAATTTATGTAAGTAAAGAATTCAAGAATAAGTAAATTTCATGTTTACAAACATTTAAAAATTAAATACTCGCATTTGTCAAAGCTTTTAAGTTTGTCAATCTTTTCAGAGTAATAAAGTCCATCCTTTTTGTTTAGGAACATAATAGGAAACATTTATTATCAGATATTCTACACAGACACCACATGCATAGAAAACGACAACATTTTAAATTACTGCCACTTTATTTTTTTAAGATGTATGTTCAGTTCTTCTACTGAATAATACGCATTTTAATCAAGTTGCAAATTAGGTCATCTTTCTACTTATATCATTTCAATTTCATATATTTAAAGCATTCATGCAAATTTAACTATTAAACGAAAGTTGATTAACTCACCAGTCATATTGCAGTATTGAAGAAATGGCCCCAGGGGACCACTTCCATCTGAATCTATATAGTAAAATCCTGAAGTATTTCCTCTGTACTTGTAGGCTTCACATGATTGCTCATAGATAGCTGTAAAAAAATGGATCATCATAGGTTAAACTGTATGAAATGAATCTCTTAAATTTTAATTTATACATAAAATACTCCAAGTCTTGAAATTTAGATGTAAATTGCTGACTGGGAGAAAAGGTAAAATTTTCCTTAAAACAAAACTCACTATTTTTTAAAAATTAATATGAATAAAAAAGATTTAGATTAAAAAAAACAAGGAAGAATGAGGTTGCATTTTAGACATTTTCATCACTAAAGGAAAATGAGATTACTCCATCAAAATAAAAATTTAGTTTTTATTTTTACATTAGGAAGAACAAGGAAAGAGAAATTAAGTATTTAAATGTTAAGACATTTATGAGTATAATGTGATATCTTACCTTGTGACATTCATTTTGTAATTTCTAATTCTAGTATCACCTGTAATAACCTAACATCTGAAGCACAATAGTGTACCCTCCTAAAAATCTGCTGTTATACAATAATTATGTAACAGAAACATTTTTTAAAATGCTGTACTTATGCTCCTTTCTCATATAAAATTAACTATAAATAAAATACATTTTTTCATAAAATAAATGTAATTCACAAAGCTCTTCATTAATAATATTTAAAGTAATTTACAAAAAAAAAACTTTCTCTAATGCTCTGTAGAGAATTCAAGATAATTACAATTCAAAGCAGAAGAAATATTTATACGAAATATGCCCCAGGTGGTCTCAATGTGTTTTGGTTAATAATAATTGGATGTTTTTGATTATACAGTTATATATTTGCCACGTACAAGGCTTGATATTAACACCTGCATATAATGCATATTTCTTATTGAATGCTTAGCCACATGTACTGATAACTTCCATTAAGCTTTGTATTCAGTGAAATGAGAAATAAATAATCCTGAATATCCTTCTCTGAATCTTTTTTAGCTTTAAAAATTATGTTAATGAGTGTTTAGACAACATGAAAAAATGTGGCTAATTTGTTCAATGTTACAAAAACTTTGAATAATCATTCCAATTTACTTCCCCACTTCTCCACAGTCTGATGGTTTTATTTTGTTTCTGCTATATATTACATAAATGAAAATATAAGCATGGATTGTTTTCTAGTCACATTTGCATTTTTTTACACTGAAGTGGGCATATAAAAATGATTCACTTATGCATTTCTATAAGCACATATGTATGTTCATAAATGCCTTGAAAGAGGTCAGCAGAATACACACGTAACTTTGAGATGGAGACTGGTACTGAAAAGAAAGGACACAGGATTAGGTGAGGGTAATTGGAAGAACTTCCACTTTTATGTGTCTTGCTTTAATTTTTATAACATGACTGCTTAATGGATTATTTCCTAATAAAAACTTTTAGAAGACCCTATCTCTGTCCCTCCATTACAACCATGTCTGTCATTATGTCCCCATTTCTGAGAATGGTTACTGACAAAAAACCATCAGCTCCATTTGGACCACCTGCTCAAGAACCTAATAAATTAATTATTGGATCAAATTGTGAGCCACAGATGAAAATACCTTTTTTACACATCTAATTTGTCCCTCAGAGCTGTTTTTGTTTATATTTAGATTCAGTCATTGTTAACAATTAAAAATGAATAATTAGTCCATTAAAAAGCATTTAATAGCTTTCTGTTTGGAGTTAGTTACTATAGTGGGAATGATGGAAGATATAAAGAGTTAAAATATACTGTTCCTCGATTAGCTGAGTGACCTGGATCAATTAACTTGCCTCTGGTTATAGGTATGATGTGGCTTTATCGCCAGCAAACATTCTTCATGAAATCTTATGAGACACTTCAATATGTACAATGCCCGGAATGACTCTGGCTGCTGTGGTGGGACCAGGAGATCCTCCTGATCACTCCTTCTCCAGCCCTGAACCAGGGTTCTGAGGGTCCTCTGTGGAGCCCCCAGGGCTGGGAGCCCAGGATCCAGTCTCAAGTCTGGCAGGAGTGCAAAGCAACAGTGTAATAGACCAAGGCTGGCGAGGCTGATGACTTTGCACCTAATGCTCTTGCCTTAGTAAAGGCTATAGCAGATAGTACTAGGGGTTAAGTTGCTCAGAAATGCCAGTTATAATATGGGTGGCGAGGCTGATGACTTTGCACCTAATGCTCTTGCCTTAGGTAAAGGCTATAGCAGATAGTACTAGGGGTTAAGTTGCTCAGAAATGCCAGTTATAATATGGAAAAAAAATGGGCATTTTGGTCTCCCCATTATATGTACTGAACAAATGGATGACAACCAAATGACCAGAGCCTTACAACACATGCAAGCATTTCATCCAAAGAAAATGCATGGTTTATAACACAGGAAAAGGGTATTGGTTATGATCCCAAGCTCTAGAGCATGATTTCAAGTGTTCCCGCCCTCACTCTACCTCAACTATTAAGTAGCCTTGGACAACTTGATTAATATTTCTCTATTACCTTACCAGTTAACTAGAGATAATAGCACTCACCTGTTAGGGTGGTCATAAAAATTAAATGAGCCAGGATATATGAAATACTACATCAGTACCTGGCATTTAGAAAGTATGAAATAAAATTAACTATTATTATTAATATAATTATTATCTACCCTCTTTGTCCTAATTATCCCCATTAAACAGTTCGCAGTAGAATTTAAAGATTATTTAGTGTTATTGAGAGAACGTCTGTGTCTTCCCACAAATTCATATGTTGAAACTTAATCCTCAATGTGATGGTATTTGCAGATGGGGCCTGTGGAAGGTGATTAGACCACGAGGGTGGAGCCCTCATGATTAGGTTCCATGCCCTTATAAAAGAGTCCCCAGAAAGATCCCTAGCCCTTTCCACCATGTGAGGACACAGGGAGATGTCCATTGATGCATTGGGCCCTCACCAGACACCAAATCTGCTAGCCCCTTGATCTTGGACTTCGGCCTCCAAAACTATGAGAAATAAGTTTTTGTTGTTTATAAATCAACCAGACTATGGTATTCTGTTATAGCAGCTCAAACGGACTAAAACACTTCCTCTGCACTTGACATCTGAACCCCCCACTCCATAAGCCATCCCTGCCCCAGTCCACCTAGCACTGTTTCTGAGAATCTCTTTTTAATTGTACAAACACTAATAATTTGGTAACTAATTATGTTTCCACTTATACTGAGCCTTCTCCCCAGAAAGATCCCTAGCCCTTTCCACCATGTGAGGACACAGGGAGACGTCCATCGATGCATTGGGCCCTCACCAGACACCAAATCTGCTAGCCCCTTGATCTTGGACTTCGGCCTCCAACACTATGAGAAATAAGTTTTTGTTGTTTATAAATCAACCAGACTATGGTATTCTGTTATAGCAGCTCAAACGGACTAAAACACTTCCTCTGCACTTGACATCTGAACCCCCCACTCCATAAGCCATCCCTGCCCCAGTCCACCTAGCACTGTTTCTGAGAATCTCTGTTTAATTGTACAAACACTAATAATTTGGTAACTAATTATGTTTCCACTTATACTGAGCCTTCTAGAAAGTTTACAGTCAAAACGCTCGCCCAATTCAAGTAACAGAACAAAATGTTACATTTTGTGTTCTGCATCTTATTTCACTTTTCACCTTTAGTCACCTCTTGTTTTCTATACATATTTTCCCTTTGCCAGCTTTTCTACTCTTTTCTCTCCTGGTTTATAGTATGTATTTCTATGAGCTACCTTGATTAATTTACAAAATGAGGTATGAATTCAAAATAAACTAGAAACCAACCGGATGCCAAAATTCAGAGTTGCACATACACGGACATATAGACACAGAGCAGTGAAAAGAGCCCCACCTCTTGTTTTCTATACATATTTTCCCTTTGCCAGCTTTTCTACTCTTTTCTCTCCTGGTTTATAATATGTATTTCTTTGAGCTACCTTGATTAATTTACAAAATGAGGTATGGATTCAAAATAAACTAGAAACCAACTGGATGCCAAAATTCAGAGTTGCACATACACGGACATATAGACACAGAGCAGTGAAAAGAGCCATGGAATGAGGAAATCATCACAAGCAGGGTGTTCAGCTTACAGTTATGGCAAGTAGCTCCCCTGTAACCAGTGTTGGTACAGTTACAGTGAAAGGCACTCCAGGACTGAGAACATCTACCTCCATGTTCACAATAGTTGGGCAAACACCTGAAAGAAGGTGCAGATACAATCACCATTTTTCATTTTTAGACATCATAAAGTATTGATCATTTATAAGTGGTCATGTGAAAGAGGGATGTCAAACATAACATGAAGAGTAAATTTAACATGACTAGTGGTTCTTCAGTCTGTCATAAGTCACAGAAGTAAACCTTAGATCAACAAATCCATCACATTTCAGCCAATTCGCACGTAGTTGGGACTGCTTAATTTTTAACATGTCTCACTATACCTGAGTCCTTTATTTTTCCTAAATGACACACACGAATTCATATGTTGTCAGGAATATCAACAGCTTACATGAAATACCACTGAATTACTACCTCACATCTCATCACACTGAATTACTACATTGTTTGAATACTTAAAGGAAGAAGGAATAAAGAAAAAAGAGAAAAAAGAAAGTGAGAGGGAGTGACTTCTTTATTCGCATATATCCAGAAATATGAAAGGATGAATTCCAATCAGTGAATTGGGGTGCTCTAGGGTGCTGAATCAAACTCACAGGGGCTCCCAGGTTATTTTAAATTTTCAAGAGAAGTAACTGTCATACTCAACATCTGTCAAACACTGCTAATTACTAGCTCTAGGTAGTTCGGTTTCAACATTAGATCATAGTACATTTATTTTAACCAAATTCTATCTTTAAGAAGCTGGACTTTTAGTAGTTGATTTAAAAAAAGAAAAAGCAGGTAACATGTGAAATCAGCATTGAACAAAAAATCAGGGTGGCTGTGTCTGATCTGATTCCAAGCTTTGAAAAATCGCTCAGTGCCCAAAGCACGTCCAATTTCTAATTGTGTTTAATTAAAAATGAAAAAATATATATATTTTTCAAATTATGTGTATCACTTTTTCAAAGGCTACTAAGTTGTTAGGATGTAAATACTTATTAGGATGTTTGGATCTAAATCACTTTTTAAATGAGAGTGTTAGGTATATCTTTTGGGTTAGGGGTACAGTGCAAAATTACTGAGACTCATAGGGAAACATGGAAGAAAAAGTTTGGGAACTTCTGGTATCAACTCAAATAGCCCTGATAAGATTATTGATGCCTTTTAGAATTTAGAATGAAAGATACATTAAGACCAAAGCTTTAAATGGAATAAAAAATAAGCTACAGAACTTGTCAAGAATATATTCGTAATGAGGTTTCTGCCACCACCTTTATTAAAACAGGGATGAAAACATCATGTTTTGCGTATAGGATTTTTCCTATTTTAACTGAAAATAATGCTATTGATTTTTTTCTGATTATAAAAAAATAGATTTCCACTGTACAGAAATCAACCATCCAGAAAATAATAAGAAATGTATTTACAATTCCACTATATAGAAATTACCACTACATGAAGGAATGCCACTTTACAACCTGCTTTTTAAGGATTCAGAAATAAATCACAGGCATCTTTTCATGCCCATTACATTTATGTGTGTGTGTGTGTGTGTGTGTATGCACATATATATACTTTAGCATTTCTATGGATTCACAGGAATCCATGTAAAGAATGTATCATAATTTATTTAATTTTTTTTTCTTTTTTTTTTGTGTGTGTGTGTGTCTTTTTTTGCAACCCTTGGCTTGGTGTCGTCTGCACTGCGCTCAGCCAGTGAGCGCACCGGCCAGTCCTATATAGGATCCGAACCCGCGGGTGGGAGCGTCACTGCGCTCCCAGCGCTGCACTCTCCCGAGTGCGCCACAGGGTCGGCCCACAATTTATTTAATTTTTAAGCATTTCAAATCAATGACAATCTAGAAGAGGGAGATTTAAAAATAGGAAAACAGTAAAAACCCTAGTTGGTAATCAGATTTTAAAAAGGTCAGAACAGGCTATTTTTTAGCAGACCTCAAACCATGTTTTTATAAGTGTCTTTGCCTAACATCCAAAAGAATAAATCTTCAATTATTGTGAAAAATTTGTTATTTATATTTAATCTGTTTCTGAAAGATTGCCTAAATTCATTTTTCTTTTCTTGTTAGTCTAACTAGACTTTTCACATTTTTAATTAAAATATGAAAGATTGTGTTGCGAATTTTATTAAAATGCATTATACAATAATGTTTTGACTACTAATAACCTATGCCAATTTACATTGCATAGTGAAGTACTCATTTGCACCAAATATTCTAAATAATTGTATTTTACACTATTCTCCCCACTTGTCATTCCAATACAAAGTAAGATAATGCATCAACCCATTTTACCTAGCTTCTAAAGCTTTTCCTTAGACACTTCCATCATTATTTTCATCTCTAGTGAACTTGAACAAACTCATACATCACACGCCTAAACCTGGAGTGACATATAAGATTCTGATTTATCTTGATTCCAATTTAAGCTTCAAAAAGACTTTCTTACAATGTAAAGTTTGGCTGAAATTAATGATGTTGAAAAATCAAATAAAATTAGGTGCCTATGGGTCCGAGGATAACGGTGACCATCAGAATGCAAATCTCATATCCTACCTCGAAACAATGAAATTGACAAGAACCAACCCTCCATTCCCTTCTTACCCTCACACCCCCCAAAGCTATGTCTTCATTATCACAGGAGACAGAATAACACCATGATCTTGAAATCAACCGGAATAAACCACACATATGAGCGTAAAGGAGAAGGAACAAGAGCAGGCTTAAGGGACTCTGCAGAGAAGAGGAGAGGGGAGGTAGGGGACTGCGGGCAGAGACTCCAGCCCAGAGGGAGGACAAGCACCAGCCTGGAGGGAGGATGGTACGACGAAGGTTTGATGCCAGAGCCTGCGGACCAGGTGGGAAAGGTGGATTGGGAGGACAGAATGATGGAGGTCTAATGGCTAGGGACTGAGAAAGCTGGGAGGTGGGTGCTGAGCCTGCTAAGGTCACAGTGGTGGATGCTGTCCCAAAGCGGCCACTTAGTCCCTGTCGGGGGTCTCTGCAGCCCGGGTGTCATTTGAGACCAGGCACACACCACACCCTCTGCCTTACTGTGCTCAGGGGAGAGTAGGTGGTATTGGTGGCTGAGATGGTGACCTTCCTCAATCACTCAATATTCTTAAAATGTTGATATCAAAGGATATACTTAACAGTTTCATTTAAAAAGTGATTAGGTCCAAGCATCTTAGTATGTATCTATGTCCTAACTTAACACTTGTCACTTCTGCCCCAGTCCCACTCAGGGCTGCCCCAGATGTGGGGACGTGGACGGCAGCTGCCAGTGCAGTTCCAACCACACCCCTCAGTCACCCCTAGTGGAGTCCTGGACTTAGGGCCAGCCCCCCGCCTGCCCACAGAGGACAAGGGGAGGTCTTCTAGATGTGTGTGTGTGAGTGACTTTGTGAGAAAGACGGAGTATGCAAGAAGTGTGCAAATGACTGTGAGTATGTGAGTGTGTCCAAATGATATAGATGTATGGGAGCATGTGCATGTGTGTATGTGTATGGGTTAATATGTGAGGAATTGTGTGAATGTGTGTAAGGATAGTGTGTGAGTTTGCATGAGGCTTTGCATATGTGAGTGAGCACTTGAGTGTGTACATGTGAGAAACTTGTGCAATGACTGTTACCCGTACTAATGTACATGTGTACAGTGTGTGAATAGCTGTGCAAGCGTGAGTGTGAGCACATGTGTTTGTATGTACATCTTTAGGTGTAGGTTTGATCCCACTTAAAGTCAGTTACAGTAAAAAAAAAAAAAAAAAGGACTGCATTGTTTAAGTTCCGTCAGATTTTTAACATATTTTTAGTGTTACTGCTTGTTTTAATTATAATTTATTAAACCATTAAATGATATGTTTATTATGCACGGATTAAATATTAACCGCCATAAATGTTAACTTGCACCCAGGGAGACTGCATGGCTGGGCAGGCAGACATTTCGGGAGACCTTCCTGGACCAGAGTGCTTGGGTTTGAGGTTGGGCTCTGCCTTTTCTTAGACATTTCACCTTAGCCCACTTAACCTCTCTGTTCATCTATTTCCATATTTATAAGAAACAAACATTTTCAAGAACAGATTCTAAGGATTTTTGCAAGGATTGATTTAAACACTAATTCATGTTAAGTACTTAGCAAAGGGCCCGATATACAGATTTTTTGAAAACAGTAAGACTTTATTTAATGATGCTTTGGAATCTATATCATATAGCAAGTAAGACCAAAGTAAATGAATGTATATTTTCTTATGAGTAGAAAAGAATAGAGTTTAGAGATACATTTGAACAAATAAATGTGTATGCCCTTGGTATAGTAAAAAAAAAAAAAACTGTATGAAGGTGTCCATTTCTTTACACCAGCGCAGCACTGAGTAAATGTCACCTTTAAAATCTTTGCTACATGGACAGATATATTAGTTTGCATTTCTTTAGGTATTAGTGATGTTAAATGTCTTTTTTTGCATTTTAGCCATTTGTATTTGTTTTTCTCTGAATTGCCCATTTATAACTTTATCTATTGCACTGTGCATCTTTTAGTGGTGGTTTGTAAGGAATTCTTCATATATAAAGGATTTAATCTTTTGTTCACTTTGCAAATATTTTCTTCCAGTCTGTCACTTCCCTTTTAAATTTCGTTTATGTGTCTCTTGCCATCTAGAAAGTTTAAATTTTTATGTAATCATTCCTGTCATCTTTTCTCATTAAAAAAAGCTCTCTCTGACTTGTAATAAATAAATAGATAAAGATATATAAATGTAAAAGTATTTTTGCTATTTTTTTTAAGATTGCTAGGGTTACCATCAGGTTAAAGTTTTTCCTAAAAAGAAACATTTATAGTTAAGATCTATCCATAATTTGCTAAATATACCTGAAAAGCCTTTTTAAGGTATAGAATTCCGGTTGAGCTGTATCCTACTCTATTATCAAGTGTGTAGCTCCAAAAAAGTAGGCAATGTAGATTCCTTGTGTAAAATGCAAATCCAGAACATACCGACATAGGAGAAGTGTAGAACTAATAGTGCCAAAATAATTTTCTGCAATCTGAGATCACCAATTTGCCCTATCACTCACCATGTGGATAACTGAGCCTCCCTACTGGACCCCTGATGGCTGTTACCTATCGAGGACTTAGGGGTCCCTGCCTCTGTGAACAAGCCCCACCTTGAGACACCAGGCCCAGGAAGACTTGCTGTATGCCTTCTCCAAATCAGGTTTTAGGTTCCAGAGCTGGTGTGGTTGTAACTACGTTTTGAGATCATGATATCTGCACCAAGAAGTCATTTAATCACAAAATCAAGCCAACGGAGGTTAACTGTCTAAATTCTCTCGTTACATATCACATTTCATTATAGAAAGAATTGCTTTCTCTCCAAGTTGTTGTAAATAAATGAGTATTTGTAGAGAGGAAATTATGTCCTTCTAATCTCTTGCTAAATATGATTATAATTATAATTATAATTATGGACTTAACATAATATCTATTAATGTTTAAAAGAGGATAAACAGACATTACTAAGTGGTCTATGGGATATAAATAGGTGAGTTTTCATGCTGACAAACAGTTTCATACAAATAAAAAGTTACTTTTAAAGTTTAGAATTTATGTATTTACTCAAAATATATATTAAACACTACTACAAGGCTGGTGCTAATTCTGTCACACGGTTTACAAAGTGTTTTAAATTTATAATGGCCATGACATTCGATCAATTCAATAATTAAAATGAACAGTCCTGGGCCGACCCCGTGGCTCACTCGGGAGAGTGCGGCACTGGGAGCACAGTGGTGCTCCTGCCGCGGGTTCAGATCCTATATAGGGATGGCCGGTGCGCTCACTGGCTGAGTGCGGTGCAGGCGACACCAAGCCAAGGGTTGCGATCCCGTCACAAAAAAAAAAAAAAAGAACAGTCATAATATTAAAGAATGACTGGCAAGATTACTTAGCTATGGTTACCACAAAAAAAAAAGAACAGTCATAATATTAAAGAATGACTGGCAAGATTACTTAGCTATGGTTACCCAGGTCTAATTATTATTAACTACTATTGTTTTCTTTTTTTTCCTTTTTGTCTTTTTTACTGACTGGCAACGGGATCGCAACCCTCGGTGTTGCGGTCTCATACATCCTTGAAATCCATCATGTGGACTTTTACATTTGGATCCAAAGCTTTTATCAGGACAACCTGATAAAAAAAGAACAAAGTAAAACTAGGATACGTCTTAATAATCAGGATTTGGCATCATAAAATACTTTATTTAAAAAAAAATAGTTATTTGATTATTTTCTGTTTAAAGGAGAAAAATCCACTAAAATCATTATTACTTTGATCTAAATTGTAAGTTGCAATTCATACAAAATATTTTTTTATTCCCACAGGGTTCACAGGAAGTCACTAATGTTATAATAATTATGTGTAAGGATACTACCTTAATTTGAATTTTAAAATTATACATATTAGCTCCAGAAACCTAAACATGCTAGCCAGCACTATTAAATTATAATATAACTTAAACATGGGAACTTAGTCCTTTAGACTGAAAAATTAAGAACATAAAAAATGAAAATATGTACTGTAGATAAGAAAAGATAAATCAATAGTGAAATGCCTTTATATTTAAGGCTATTTGGAAAAGGAGTTATACTGACTTGGAATAAAATTACCACCTACAAGCATCTTCCAAAAGTTCATGGAAAGATTTGTATTATCTTTTAATGAACTTTTGAAGTACCCTCATATTTAAACACTTTATTTTTCTTACATAAAGGAACCACACATGCACGCATTTTTAATTTATTCATTTATTTTTAATTGACATATAATTGTACATATTTCTGGGGGACAATGCGATGTTTCAATATACATATACAATGTGTAATAATCAAATTAGGATAATTGGCATATTCATCACCTCAGACACATCATTTCTTGTTGGTCAGAACACTTAAAATCTTCTCTTCTTGCTATTTTGAAATATACAATATAGTATTGTTAACTATAGTCACCCAACTGTGCAATGGACCATTAGAATTTATTTCTTCTACTTAAATGTAACTTTGTACACCCTGACCAACCTCTCTCAACCCACCGCTCCCTCCATACCCTTTCCAGCCTCTGGTAAAAGGAGAACTCTGGTACACTCCTGGTGCGAATGTAAATTAGTACAGCCACTAAAGAAAACAGTATGGAGGTTCCTCATAAAAACTAAAAAAAGAACTACCATATGATCCAGCAATTTCACTACTGGGTATACATCCAAAAGAAATGAAATCAGTATGTCGAAGGAGACAGCTGGACCTCTGTGTTGATAACAGTGCTATTCACTATCACCAAGATATGGAATCAACCTAAGCATCTATCAACAGACGAATGGATAAAGAAAATGTGGTATATTTACACAATGAAATACTACTCAGCCATAAAAAGAATTAAATCCTGTCATTTGCAGCAACATGGATGAGCCTGGAGGACATTATATTAAAGTGAAATAAGTCAGGCACAGAAAGACAAATACCACATGATCTCACTCATTTGTAGAATCTAAAAAAGTTGATCTCATAGAAGTAGAGAACAGAATAGTGGTTATATATGCATTTTACCAAATCCCAATGACTTAATGTCAAAAACATTTCACAGTTTGATTTTATTTATTATAAAATCAAAAAAAGAGTGTTTCATTTATACTGATCTTTTTCTAGTATTTATTTAAGACTTGCTTCTAATTATTTAAATAATAAAGAAATATAATATTAACCATTATTATTTGGGGTTTAATGATGTTCTACATGTTTCTCTACCTGAGTGAAATAAATAATTTTATGGAGTATGAACACATATATTATACTTATATATTTAATCTTTATTTTCCATTACGGTTGTCTACCTCTATTACAATTTCAAACATAAGAAATGAATCAGCAGCTTTTTAATTCCTCTGCAATCTATGCTAGTTTTCTACCTGAGAATTTCCATTATAATGAAATTGTTTGACTAAGGATATTTCTCCTTAGTGCTTTGTTTTCCTAGTAAAATACATAACCTCTATTACAACTTCAAACTTAAGAAATGAATCAGCAGCTTTTTAATTCCTCTGCAATCTATGCTAGTTTTCTACCTGAGAATTTCCATTTTAATGAAATTGTTTGACTAAGGATATTTCTCCTTAGTGCTTTGTTTTCCTAGTAAAATACATTTATATAGTAAGTAAAGGCCAGCATTCAAATTTAAAACTATTATCAGACACATCGAAATATTATATTTTAACCTAATGGACACTTTGAAGTTTCAAATTTAATATATCAAGGGAAAGTGATCACAGCTTTTTGAGTATTAATTTATTGTACATGGTGCTACACACATTTCCAGTGCTTAAATTTCTTCTATAGTGTAGAATATGGTTACCACAATCTCGATATGTTTTCTAGATGACTTATAAACCAATGAAGAATGTTAGAATGAAAAACTGAAAGGATATAGTTCAGTAATATTTGGGGACAACCATAATATGCCATGAATATAAACAGCTTTGCTAATCTCCTTTTCTCCAGGTGGCGTTTCCTGATACATCTCAAACTATTTCAGAACGAAATAAATTATGCGATATGCCTGTAGGGAACAAAACTAAGCAAACCCTGAGTCACGAGGAAAAGTCTTGGAACTTTACAGAAAGCACACTATTGTATCATAAAGCATTCCATATTCCTAGCTACCATGTTCAATAAGCAAGAGGTTCTAAGAACAAAGAACAGTTCAACCCATGCTAGTGTCAGTAGTCTATGACAAGAGGCAGGCACAGGTTAACATAATGCAATACCAGAGAGAAATTCATCACTGGACCATTTGAGATAAAAGTTCTAAATGGGAAGATTTCTGGAGGATACTTAATGCTGAATTAATGGCTGGATCCATTTCTAGAGGCAGTTAGCATGCTAAACACCTCTGAGGATGACAATTTTTTATCACTGTATGTCATTGTACCAGGAGTGAGATGTCGCGTTAGGCTTCGTGGTGGTTGTAGTCAGTTCATTGGATGGAAAACATTTGCTTTACGCAAGGGGTGTGGAGTGTGGGGGAATTCTGCACACAGTTCAGTATCAACAGCTTGTGCTGACTGGCGTGTTGTGCATAGTACAAAGATTCCATAGGGGAATTTACAGAAATTAGACACTCAGCCATCCTCAATCTGGAGAACCCAGATTTAAAATTTCTAATTTATAAATGATAAAAGCTGAGTATAATGCATCACTATGCAGTCAGACTTTTTGAAAAGCACTCATCTGAGGGTGGGAAAAAAGTAAGAAGTAAAAAGTGATGGATGGACAGTGAAGGTTTGGCGTGGCATATACAGTTACAGAGCAGCCCACTCTCCCAATATGACAGCACTCTCAAGACTGGCAAAGAGAGGAGACAATGCCTTGGCTGTTGGAACAGGGTACTCCTTTGCAGTCAAGCTAGACTGACTATATTCTGAGGAGATCACTGGAAACTTGTAGGAGAACTGATGAGAAGTGTCTCATAACGTGGCATATTTTATTACTTGAAGATAAACTGGCTGAGGAATTAAGTACCTAAGAAAGGCCTTCCGCCTAGATAAACAGATCCTAGTGATTAAGGGGACTGTCATTACACAGAATGAATGGCCAACTTCTTGAGGATGACCAACTGTTTAGTTTGCCCAGGACTGGATGGGAGAGGAAGGAGGGTGGAGGCATTTGTTTCCAGGACACAGAACTTTCAGTTAAAAATGGGAAAAGTCGGTCACCCTGTTGCCAGTACCACCCAGGTGATCAGGGTCCCTGTGCCAGTCCTGAATTTTAGGGGACCTTGCTTTTAGCCCTTCTCCAGCCATGCTTCTGCCCATCATCCCACTAGGCCTTGCAAGGGAAGATGACGTGCACATTTGAAGCCCTCTCTCCTACAGCCCACTCCCAGACTCCAAAATTTCCATCCCAAAAGTCCTAAGTGGGCTCCCAGGATGATGGACCTCATCATTCAGCCCCTGGAGCCACCAGGCTGGGTAGAGCAGAGAGAAGCAGGGCAGCAGAATGTCTCCTGCTTTCATTTGGTCCCTCACTGCCAGCTGTGGAAATCGTAGGGTGGCCTGGATTTTGCAGAGTACGTGTTTAATGACCTATAGAACCTCACACCAAGGTCAAGGTACTGGAGAACACCAATCGAGAAGATGATTGAATAAACAGAAATAACTGTGTAAGCTTGAGATTTGTTTATTTATAAAAAAAAAAATCCTTGAGTTGGAATTTTATTGTGGAAGCTTTCATAGTATATTGTTTACGAAAATCTTAATAATGTAGGTATAAAATTATAGAGAACATTAAGGGAAAAATAAATCCCAAATTCAGAAGAGTATTTACCTGGGGAGATCAGAGGATCAAACATACATTGAATAATCTTTTCTAATCTTCTCTTTCTTTAATGCATGTGTAGACATGAACTTAAGAAAAATTACTAACATTCTTAAAAATGTATACATGATACAACATGTAAAGAATAGAGGAAACTGCATGTGAGTATACAGGAACTCTGTATATCTTTGCAACTTTTCTGTAAATCTAAAACTATCCAAAAATATTTTTTTAAAAAATATAGTGTATATCATATGTCTCATAATAAAAACAAGCAAAAATCACAGAGACTATATGTAACATCTTTTACTATAAAAAAATATTACAGTATAAATAAAAGCAATCACCAGAGAAAAATTTTACACAAAATAGCTAGACATTGTTAAACCTGAACATAAACAATATAAAATACTTTAAAATGATAATTCTGTTTTCCTGATTTACAAACACTTTATCCAGTCTTTTATTTTTCATCATTTAACAATATGCCTCCTTTTTTCTTATCTCTTTAGGTGCTTCTAAATTTTTTCTTTTCAAGAGAAAACTCTTGGTTAAGTTGTTCTATATACCTTACTATTTATCAAAAGAATGTGTCTCTGTGGATTGCCATAAAATCAATCATATATTCCAAAAGGTTTTATAAATAGCCTGGTTCAGAAATGAACAAATCTCAGGAAAGGAAGCAATTATATCTTTTAAGATTGTTGGCCTTTTGCAACCTTTCACAATAATGGATTATGTAGTATTTTTTGTTTGTTCATTTTTTAAGATCCTATGAATTGATTCATGAGCAGTGTGCTTACTGTCAATTCTTAGAAAAGAAATCCTATTTTATTGGTGAATAATAAAGACAGGGCTGCTTCTCCAAAATTCAAAAATGATTCTACACAGAAGCAGCTGTTACATTGCTACCATGTAACACCACCAAAATAATGATAATATAGGAAACACCTCAATTCGTGATTAGAAATAAGTCTTACTACTGACAGCTTTACGACTTTGCATTTCTAATAGCAAAGAGCATTTTTTTTTTAAATTCTCCAATGACAAAGATTCATTTCCCACGTTTACTTTTCCTAGCTTTTAGTTCAATTGAACATGCTCAGGCAGGTAAACTCTTTTTGTTCTCTAAGGGAGATGGCCTGGTGTTGAGGGCTGATGCCCTGATCTTACCGAATGTATTAGCACATTATTACTTACAAGGATAAGAGGTTGTTACAGCTAATTAAGTTAAATTATATGTCCATTGGCATAGTATTGCCCTTCTGTATTTGGCAGCAGGAAAGCAATAGGATGCTTTAAAGGAGATAAGAGGCATAATCATGAAAACACTGCAATTAAATCAACCCATAAAACCAGAAGATGCAAAAAGACCATTTACCATTAGGAAACTATCACAAGGTCTGAAGGTAAGAACTGAAAAGAGTGGCCGACTAAAATCAATCTCATTACAGAAACAGTAAATGTAAATGAGCTCACCTTATAGAAATGCATTTCAGGTCTAACTGGTCATCTGGATCCACTCAACATTTCCATGCTCAAAGAAAGTAAGAAAATATTCCTAATCTATTAACATTCTTTAAAACATGATGACCTACCCAAAGACACAGGAGGGAGTAACGCAAATATGGTTTAATTGGCCATATGACCTGACCCCTTTTCTTACCTCCAAAATAATAGGTGCCACCCGAATAAATCTGCTCAGGTACCAGTGAAGGAGCAGCAGAGGCCACATGGCCATCCACTGCCAAACTCACATGATTTCTTCCAGCAGATAAGGAGACAGAATGCCACTGCCCATCATTTAATCCAACACCTGGGGGAGAGGAAGTCAATTAAAAGAGAGATCTCTCAGCTGTGAACTCTATAAGCAGTTGGTTAGAAACAGCAAATATACACATCACTCAACTGATTCAAACATATACATGTATTAAAAGAAAACAGAAAGGAAGAGAGAAAAGGGAGACAAGTGGAAAATCAGCCTCTTCTATGTGGAAAATGGTGCCTTATTATCTTCCTCCCTTAGGGTCTCAATAGAGAAAAAATTTCCAACCCTGGACAATAATGAATGGTTAAAATCTTTCAATTACTTGGCATAGATTGATTTTCAGCTTTCATTCACAAAATTTACTTCTTATATAGAGGGGCTTACGAAGAGTACAGGTATTTCCCAAATTCTAAGTTATACCCAACAAAATGTTTTCCTACCTATTTAGCACATTTGTGTAGTCACCTTTTATGGTATTATAATAGAATACTTAACAAACTATGTCAAGCCAATCATCACAAAAATATTCGAAGAGACTTAATAAATACAGAAAATTTACAGATATAATGTAAAGCTAAAAAATAAAGCAGTGGGTAAAACCATGTATACACAGTGGATCATAATAATTTGCAGATTTCATATTTGAGAATTTGCCTAATCACTAAGACTTACTTGTAACCTCCAAATCTATGCTCCATGAGCTTTCTCGGTTATTCAAGGACATGCGCAGAGCAGCGAAGAATTTGAGTTGTCCTATGTGCATGTCTCCTGCTGAGCTCAAACAAGGCAATGTTTGCCTTATTCTACTGTAAACGTTTTTTTTTTTTTTTTTTTTTCTTTTTTCTAAGTTTATAATTTGCAGATTTCATATTTGAGAATTTGCCTAATCACTAAGACTTACTTGTAACCTCCAAATCTATGCTCCATGAGCTTTCTCGGTTATTCAAGGACATGCGCAGAGCAGCGAAGAATTTGAGTTGTCCTATGTGCATGTCTCCTGCTGAGCTCAAACAAGGCAATGTTTGCCTTATTCTACTGTAAACGTTTTTTTTTTTTCTTTTTTTTTCTTTTTTCTAAGTTTGTTGGTGATTTTGCATGAAGGAAAATTGTGGTTGTTTCTGTTCGTTTTTATATTTATTCTGTGTTTTCCAAGTCTATAAATGTATGATCAAAAGTTGCTATAATCAAAAATCAAGGTATTCTTATCACCTCTAAAACACAATCTCTAGTCCTTCCTAAGGCAATCCTAGTGTCATAAATCCATGGGATGGCATAGCGTTTCCCTGTTAAAGGAAATTAAGACTACAAGGAGCTCTGTGGTTGAATACTGAGCAGAGACATGGAACCCAAGCACCTCCGTTGTGGATTTATCAGTCAGGTTTACATACACTGAATATTCAACTCTGTATGATTCTGCGGACCAAATTAGTAAACCAAAATCTAAGCACTCTATTAAACCCCAAGAGCCTCTTTTCTGATATTATATGCAATTCCTTTTATTCCCTGAGCTATGTCCTACCACGTGCTTTCAGATTGAAAATGCATGAAGCTCCCTTAGGTGATTGCATTTCTTTACCTTAGACATATTTAGTCTAACACAAATTCTAGCCGGAGCACGGAAGCTCATTTTTACATCACATTCATGAAGCAAAAAAGATTTTCTAAGACCCAGCTCTGGTTTGGTTTGTAAGAGATAATAAGAAAGAACTGAAAATTGAAATATGAAGAATGTAGGTTAGATACTTTTAGACACATTTTCTAAGAGTGGATTCTGAAATAGACAAGTGAATAGAGTTATATAATCCTTGATGGTATGAGATTGGACAAAAATAAATCAAATGTCCCAGATTTGTCATCCAGTACTTCCTTTAAGAGGATACATTTGGAGTGAAAATCCTTGTGTATACTTTGTGTCACATGTACAGAGACTTCCCACTCTACACATCCATCACCCGAGTGTCTCCTACCACCTTATTCTCAAAGCCCCATATACACAATTTTAGTTCCGATATTTCATCTTTGGCTTTCTATTTGTCTCAGACAGTGCTCAGACCTGAACATTTTATTTTTCAACCTATTGTAGATTGATACTTTTATAAAATATGATAAAAGAGAACTACTAAAAATTAAAAAGACATATAAAATGCTAGCCTATGAACCGTGCACTTAATTTTTGCAGCAATATCTTTTTGCTATAACAGTTTCTAAGAGCTTAATCTTCATTTTCATACTTATCTTCTCATGGATCAATAACAAATATTTCAATGAGCCAATGCTGGTCCAGGAACCACACTTTGAGTAGCAGTGCTCTGGGCAACTGTTGGTTTGGCATACAGCAGGAGTAAGTCAAAGGCTTGAGGAGGCCTTTGTAATAAAACTATCTATATAGAAGCCAAGTTAGATTAAGAACAGAAGACAACCAGGACAGCCCACTCTGTACTGTGACACCATTAAATGCACCCACCTAACCAGCTAGCAGGTTATAAAGTCTTGCCATGTCTGTGGGGAACCTTCAGAAAGCTGTTCTTGAGCCTCATTTGTGATAGACATGATTTATCTATGAGTAGGAATATTACCCGGCAATGGATTTATTATTCAAATTACATCATCAAATTAATTAATTCATTTGAACTAACTCTACATAAGTTTAAGTCAGATTCCATTTATTTGTAAGTATACAACTTCTCTTCGCTTCTAGGTCTGATGGGAGATGCGTTCCTTTCAAAGTCTGCACTACTGTGAAGGAGAGGAAGGAGAAAGCCAAAGAGTAGAATTTGTCTTCTTTTTCCTATTTATGATACTGTGTAGCTAAATGCTTATTCTATACACTACTCCCACCACTCATAACCTTTGAGTCTGGGGAGGGAGAAAATTGTTAAGAAAATAATAAAGATGATAATAATTTTATTGATCTATTATTCATAACAGGTGCTTTGTGCTTTCTATTAATTGTATCATCTAATCTTCACCACCATTGTTGTCCTCATTTAAGCATAAAGCAAATGGGGCTCCAGGAAGATAAACATGTGACCTAAAGTAGTACACAGCTTGTGAGAAGCCAAACCGAAAGAGAAACCCAAGTCTGACTCCAAAACCCACGCTCTTCTCTGGATACAAAACAGGCGGTCCCTTATTTTTTTCGCTCATGTTAAACAATTAACTTTGAGAAAGAAAAAAGCAACCCTTAACAGCTAGGAGCTGGCCTGGCATTATCAGTGCAGCCTTGGCATTGTGAGAAGTTGGCTGGCACACAGAGCTAGGCCTTGGCATCTTCCTGTTGAACGTAAACAATCTCACAGAACATCGACATTAGACAAGGTCACTCTGTGACCCCAGTGAAACAGAGGGAAAAAATTAAGACTACTCTGTAATCTTGTCTAAGCACAGACAAAAGCAAGGTAACCATGCAAACCACAAAAATACCAAAAATACCAAACTTCTCCCTCTCCTGGATAATACTGATTTATTTTTTATCAATTACAATGTTAATCTTATTTCATTCCTCTGTCTTTGAAGACAAGATTTACGAAGATGCCTGAACATAGAATTCCCTTCATTTCCTGGCAGCATTAAATCTACAGCAATTTTTCTCTTCCTTGAAACCTCCCTCAAATCAGCCAAATAACCCAAAATCCTGTAATAAGTCATTTTAACACCATTGTAGTGAGACAACCCCCACAGTTCCCAGGGTGTGTGCTCTCTTTGTTGCAATAAGCAATTAACCCAACTTGTTCAACTTCAGATATGTTCACTGTGATCTTTGGCTGGAAAACATTGACAATTCCAAATGGAATAATGAAAGGATGGAAAAATAAATGGAAGTGTTTGCAATTGCAGGAAATAGGAGAGGACAGGATTGTGTCCCAGAACTTTTCCTCCCCAACCCATCATCCCCTTCTCTCTCTCCTCTCTGACCCAAACCACATAAGCACACAAAATATAGCAGGAAGAAAAATGTTTATATCTGCTCCCTCGTATATAATCTGCTGGTATCAGTCCTAAATTGCTACAGAAACATGATGACAGCTTGGCTGCCATCAGCCTCTCATAAGACTATAATAGGCATCCATCGGGTCAGTGGTATACAGAAAAAATAAACCTGTCATGTAGGGTAGGTTCTCTGCAAAGGTGCAAAACGCAAATATACACAGGACATTACTCAAGGAGCAACCAAAGGGTTTTGCCTGTTTCCAAATGTATTTCAGCACTCTGAAAGTGTCAGATATTCCTACATCCCCTAACTGCAGTCACTAAACAGAATTAAGGATCCAGATCACTAGATAGCTCTTGTCGAGGTGAAAATATAGAGGTCGTTGGTACCTATGACTTTAGTGTAGAGCAGGAGTTTAAGGGGTTTACAATCTGAAAGGCAGAAATGTTCTGACAATGAAAGGGAGGAAGGGGGAATCAAAAAATGCTTCTCCTGGGTAGGGCAAATCAACAAGGCTGCTCCACGGCCAGGGACACAAGAATGGTGAGTGCCTATGGGTGAAAAATGCAGAAACATCTCAAATGCTGCAACCCTGCCTCTGCCAGGCTCTGCCCATGGGAGCCAGAGGCTTGTTTATAGGCCTGAAAAAGCAGTAGCAGCAATGCTAAAATCATAGCAGAAATCTCAAATTTGACAATAAAGAAGTTGTTTTAGGGAAATGTAACTATATTGTTCATTGGGTCCTTAATCCATCTGAGTGATTTTTGCTTTGACATCTATAAAGGTGACAAGGACTGAAAATATTCTGTGTCATGAGGTCTTTTTATAGTATTGCTAATATGTCCCATGATTTAGGCTAATATAATATCTTTAATGTTTCAAAACCGATTAAGGCTGACATAATATTTTTGAATAATTTCAAATGACAATTTGCAAACCTGTACATCCCATTAAAAAAATTTAGTCTGATGATTTAAACAGTTGTACAATTCAGTTCTTTCTCCATACAATTTGATTTTTCTTCCATCGTAAAAGATACAAAAATTTTGAGTTTTTCCAGCTTTTAAGATTAGTAATTTATGTCTCCAGTAATGGAAATCTATCCTTATATAATGGAAAGATTTAGTATAATATACCAATCCATCAGTATACTTGGTTCTCTTGAAAGAGTCGTTATATAATACACTCTGACAACTAGTTTATTTAAGTACAAGTGGAAAGTTTTCCTTTATGGGAGAACAAACCCCATAAAGGGGTTTGACCCTCTCTCAGCTACCATTTAAGTAGTCTATTTTCAAATGCAAAATGTATTTGCTTCACTTACACTGGCAAAAAATAATATTTCGAAAGAAATTGGAAAATTAGGGGTAGGGAGATTTGGTAAGTAAAGGCCAACTAGTGTTATATGCAGTGTGACAATTTTGCTATATTAACACTTACATTTAGTCCAGGATTCTTACTATTAGCTATGGAATTAATTACAAGAAGTCATATGATGCCACAGTAGATTATACTGTATATGGATTTAAACATTAATTGAGAGATTTTAAAAATCACTCAGGATATTCTATACAGACTTACACCTAGTAATTTATTAACTCTACATGCCTGTAAAGTGGTTAGAAGTGAACTAGTTTCATGGGGCTAACAACAGTAACATTGCACTGAAACAGTTTCTTTAAGATGTTGAAAATTAGGCTATGAATTTAAACACTTCAGTGGATGTCAAATGCAGCACAATAAACTACATATTAATGCCAAGCTTACGTTTCTAGACCCTCATTTTCCGGGCCTATTAATTATTAATATGACACTGATTAATTTCCTTTTGTTGAACCTACAAATCCAGCACCTTGTGAGCATTACATAAAAAATCACAACATAGTTCCTCTTAAAAATTATAATTAATATTTAATTTTCAGTTCCCATATTTAAACCGCAGTGATATATGAACAACAACAAAAAGATGCACAAAGAATAAGCATTTGTGTATCCATTCGTATACTAGTTTTTCTTATATTTGCTTTTCAACTGTATTTTAATTTTTTTCCTCTCCAAGTCATATTCTATAAATTTTCATCATAGTTAATATAGAGAAGTAGTGCAATGGCATCTTTAAATTGTTTTTAAAGATCATTTATTAAATTAATGTAGCAATTTACCCCAATGTGACCTCCAGTTGCTTGGCTCGGATGCTATTCTCTATATGTAAAACTGTGATGGAGATCCCTTGTTGAGAACTATATAATTTTAATGAAGAGATAAAAATATCTCTCACCCAAAGGACTGACCTAAATTGGACATTAATTTTCCAGACACTCATACAGTCACCTTAATTATATTACTTTTAATCATTAAAACGATACCGTATTGCCTAGAAATGAAAAGAATTCCAGTAGGAGCCCAAATGAGAAACCTTGCACAAATCTTTGCATCCTCCCAAAATGTATCCAACAGTTTACAAAATACATCAGAAAGTAAAGTTAGACTAAATATTTGTTTTATATTGCACACTGATACAGAGATATAGATACTAATTCTAGAAAAACCTCTGCTCTTCTCCCACAAACCAGATAAGACTAATAGATATGTTAAGTATAGTTTTTCATTGAAGGACACCCAATTAACTTTTTGGTCCATTTCAAAGTCTTTCGCATTTTTCCCAAAACACATTTCCTCAGGATATGTTGATTTATTTGGAGTGGAGGAGAGGGTATTGGAAGGAAATTTCTATTCCTCCATAACTAATAACTATTGGTTAATAAGAACCACTAGTGTCGGAATCATATTTAAAAGAAAATTGGAATCAAGTTCCTCTAAGGAACAGTACTGATAATCTTATTAACTCAAGTATTCATTTATTAAATAAATATTAATTTCTGGCTATATGGAAAATTTGTGGAGAAGGGACCCAGAGATAATGAAATCTTTCAAATCCATATGCTTTACCTGAGGGAAGACATTTATTACCTGCAGTGATGTCACTGGGTAATTTTCCTGGCTGGTAGAGATTCAGCTTAAGTTTTCCATCACTAAGAAAGAGGAGGAGACCCCCTGAAACCTGTTGAAGTTCACTGAATAGCAGAAGCCCTGCCTCATTCCAGGTTCGAAATTGAAAAGTAGCAGAAATCTCATCCTCTCCAGAAAAGCCTGGCAGTGCTAAGTAACTCCTGGAGCTCAGAAAAGTCACAGGCACCGATTGTGGTTGTGAACAAGAAAAGGACACATTTCCCTGAGAATAAAAGAAAAGAAAAGCTTTCAGAACGTTATTCGCATCATATTAGTATTAGAATCTGAAATACTCACAAAGACTTCTTATCAATCCCACATTATCCTGGATTTAAAACAACAAATTGCCATCAACATGAAAATTCAGATCCTTGACATTTATCTTAAAGGTTCTTCAGCCTTTTTCTCTGATCTTCTCACCATTTCTCAACTTTAATATAGATCTTAAAAGTCAATGAAATCAACTTTATTTACAAGAACATGCATTGGAAGTAAAAAATTTGGCTTGACCAAACAAAAACATCTTGCTATATTGTGATTCTGTTTAAAGTGAATTAGCTTTTATTATAAGCAAATATCTTGTTCCAATGAATGAAATAACAAGAGCTGAAGAGTAAACTGTGCTAACACATAATGTAAAGGCTATTATAAGACCACCTAACCCACTGAAAATGGAAACGTTTTACCAGCTGCAGTGTGGTCTTAGGCTTCACTTGGCAGCTAACTGCTACCCTACAAGGAACAAATCCTCTTGTTAACGAAGAGTGGGTGGTCCTTGCATGAGCAGTTTCTAGAAATTTATTTTGTGAATGAAACGCACACATATGTATTTTTATTTTCCTTTTAAATTATTTTCCCTTTTAAAAGTAACTATTTTTAAATCTTGCTGGGTGTTATGATCATATAAATATCACACATTCACACAGAGTATTAGGAATAAAATACTTCGTAAACAATAAATATTCTCATGATGGGACTTGAGATTTGCTGGTACAACATGAACTTAAATTACGTATTTTGTATTTTAAGCAAAGAAAGAAATTCATTCATATCAGTATGTGTCTGCTTTTTATTATCAAACTGAGAAAGCTAGAAATCATATTTCCCAGGATCCACTTCCTTGTCTGCTTCTGGGTAAAAGTTAGCCAAATGAGGGAGCTTGAGAGAGTTTTGATGGTCCAAAGTAGAACACCAGCCATTTTGCTCCAAAGGTTCTTTTGTGATCGCCCACAAGGAAGAATGGTCACAGAGGTGCTGGGCTGTTGCAGTTTGTCCTTGCTCTCCTCCACTCTCATGGTGTCTTCTTGCTGACAGATGGCCGGTCCCATGGACCACCAGCAAGCCCAGGCCCATCCCAAGATCCCTGTGTGGAGACCCACAGAGGCAGTGGCTACCCATAGGCAACAACTTTCAGAAATCTCTCAGGAGCATCCTTCATGGGCTGAAAATGCTCTAGAGACTCTAACGTGTCTATGCACACTATTACCTTAGACAGAATATAGTGACTTCTCTGATCCTCCAACTTCCTCTGCCAGGCCTTCACCCTCCAGGTCCTCTTAAGATCCGAGTCCTAAAATAGATCCCTTGCTCATAACACTCAGACTGATGCTGCTTCCCTGACTGAACCCTGACCAATGCAATTATACTTAAATTCTGCCACATTTCTGTAGAATTAGAATGTAATGCAGGCTGCCCAACACTGTTATTGAGTCAGATCGGCAGGTGCAGTCTTGTAACAGCCTGTTAGTTTCTTTTATTTGTTGTGAATGACCATGGCAAAAGACAACTTTTTCAAATGTCTCTCTAATATACATAATTGTTATTTGATTCCAGAAACTTTGTATACTCATCTACTGTGTTTGTCACGGAATATCTTATTAAGGAAATTACAGAGCAAAAGAAAATAGTCTCCTGGGAGGAGTAATATCTCAACAAAATTAAAGTATCAACGGTAGAGAAAACAGCTTTACTTCATATAAAAATAAAATAATTGTGCCCTTTGAATTATAATTCTTTCCAAAAGAATTAATCTCCTGTATGCATATTGCCAATCAGAGAAAAAATGTAAATGAGTAATCTCCAAAACATCATATCACAAAAAAGGAGCAATTTTATTGTGTGAAAAAGATGCACATGAAGACTCTTACCATAACGATAATCTGTGGTTTTTGTTGCTTGGCCAAATCAGTAACATCCACTCCATTATAATAGAGATTTTCTAAACATCCATGAAAATTTTTATGTGGGATTGACACTGATTTTCCAGGTGCTGGAATCCCTCCAAAGCTGATCTTAGAAAGAAAATTGGCATCAATAATATTGTTTAGTGATTTTCTAATAATCTGCTTAAACAATTATGTCTAGCAACTATCCCTGTCATCATCACACAAACATCAATTTTTCATCACCCTATTCTGAAAAAAATCAAGATGCAGATTTTAAAGCAAATTTATATGCATTCAGTCTTCATTTACACTAGAGCTTGATTATCCTTACAAATAGCTAATCACACCTTTTATTGATATTTGTTGAATGATAAAAAATGCAACTTTATATCCATGATAAAACTCGATCTGTTTAATAATGTAACCAATTATAATGACATTTTATTTTACATACATTTTTTGGCACTCATTGATATTTGTGCATTTGAATCAATCGTTGATGAATTAATTAATCAATCCGTTTGAGGTGGCATTCTTCCAATAAATCTACACTGCTCATGAGTATAAAAAAGAAATCATACAACACAACCTATAATTGATTGTGGTAATCAGATCTCTTCATGGACAATACGTTCTACCTGTGACATTCTGTGACTAGACATTTCAGGTAAAAAAAAGATGATCTCACCCTATAATAATATATTAACATACTTTGAGAAATATGAAAAATGATGAAGCCCCAAGTACTATACACTCAAACCTGAGTTCTGTGATTTACTGTAAAAGATGGGTTTTCTTATCATGTGTTTTCTTTGGAGAAGTTAAGCCACATAAACATCATTAAATCTGTACTAATTGAAACATAACCATCACACCTCATAATCAAGATCCAGGTAATTGAATTCTCCCTGTGCGTGGAAACGATGCTGGTGCTCGTCCACTGTAAAGTTGACTTGTTTACCCAAACGCTGGATGAGCACAGAATGCCAGTGCTGATCATCCAGCAGACTGCCCAGGGTGAGATTGATCAGGGCGTGAGCAGAGGGCAGCTTAGCTTCACCTTAGGCGAGGAAAAAATAACAGCACCATTATTCCCAGTTTAAAAAAAGAAAAGGTTTCCTTTCGTGGACCAGCATCTTTCATCCTAATTCCAATCTGCTTCCACACATTCCATCCCAAACACTAGTATGGATTTACCTAATGTTTGAATATAATAGCCTCTCGACCTTGCTGTAATTTCTTCCACTGTTAATTCTTTTCCTTATCATCCATTGCATGTTAATTATCTATGTAAATTTTATCTTTGCTACAACCTCATTATTTTTACTACCTCAATGTTTTTCAGTGACCCTTTTTTTATGATATTAGAAAATACCCATGTGGTTCTTCTACCAGGGTTAAGTAAAAAACATCTAATGAGGGTCTTGCGCAATTTGCAAAGTAAGAACCATTTTTACATAGAACAGCAATATTGGCATATATGCAAGCCCTTGAACCTGAAAATAAAGCACTTTCACAGTTCAAAGATAAGCTATAAAAGCATAAAGTTACCTAAGTGATATCCAAATGATCAGATTTTCAAGCATTTCACCAAATAGTTTTACCTGAATTAATCAGTAAAAAGAGTTTTCCTCTTCTTAATTCCAATGTGATGTGATCTCCATTTGACCCTGCCCTGTGGATTAGAATCCCATCACTCTCCATGGTTTTAAATTTCAAAGAAATAATATCTTTTATTGGGCTCAGGGATTTTTGATCAAATCTGTAGAGAAGAGAACTTTTTCCATCAAGATCAACCACCTCTGATCCTAGAGACAAAGATATTAAAAGTCATTCTAAGGATAAATATGCTCTCCATTAAAGCATTTCTAATGAACACATATAAAGAGAGCACTGTATACACTTATATACTTGCATATATAGGTCAGCTCTGGATCAGTTATCCTAAGAAAAAAATATGACCACCAAATGTCTAATTCCCTCTTGACACCAGGGGTTGATTCCATTTTAGTTTTTATTAACCTGTTTACAAAATTCACGATCTAGAAGTACATTTTTAATGTATTCCTAACTTTCTCTTATATTATTAAAGGCTATTTTTTCTCATTTCATAAAAAAGAAAAACAGGAAAAAAGGTTATAGTTAATATACATAAAACCACTTCACATATTTCATGATCAGTATTTTTTATGGTATTCTTGAAATGCTGAAGTTAAGTGGGTTTTGGCTTCAGAATTAGTAGTTTTGGTATCTCAAAATTTTTTCAGACATGTGCTATATAAAAGAGATCAACATGCAAATATACACATGTACTACAGACTCATCAAATGCCACTTCAAATATATACGAATATTAACCTGACCTTGTGTTTTGTCTCATGTTATTATGTTTGTGGCTAACTGATAGTATTTAAGGGCAATGCTGCTTTCTATCTTCTCAAGGGCTTTGTTGGAAAGACATTGACTTAATGATATTGTAAGGTCTGTTCTGCTGCATTTGTGTTGTAATCGTGACACTGTTTTTTCAGCTTTCTGACAGTGTCTTATATACTTGCTGTCAAGATCACTCTTACTCAGTTCATGTGAAAAAAGGTGTCATGTTATACGAGTAACATAACAATACATCTGTCAAAATCAGTTGCACCCTGAACAAGAGGCACAAAAAGGAACTGATAATACTCGGAAATCCTAGCACAGTATTTTCTACATTTCACAAGTCGAAGATATTTTTAAGGCAATTACCCTTGAGAGTGCATTTATGTAATAAATGAAGAGGTTAGGGAAACTCAATAAAAGATGAAGCTATTTTTCAATTGGTAAGCTGACTTCCTCCAGTCAACAAAATGACATTACAGTTTACTCATCTTGTTTCATTTGAAAAAATTATTACAGCTACTTGTATGCCCAAAGAAACATCTAATTCAGATTATCCATTATATTCCATATGAAACATTTACATCCACCACCACCTCCCCCAATTTTTTTTCAACTATTTTTTGTAGCTATCTTTTGAAGATTCAGAGATCTGATTTTTTCACATCTTGCTAATGGGCTTATAAAGAATTCATTCACCAAGTGCACATGAATAAACATTGCATTCTGCAGAAATAATGTTAACTGAACAATTATTCCTTGTTATATAGCTGAATAAATGTGCATGGTAAAAACATAACTCTGTGTCAAATACAAATAATGTGTTCTATGATTATTAGATTATAATAAATTAAGAAAAAATTCCAATAAGATGGACTTTAAAGGCTGACACATTTAGAGCAATGCAGTTATCTCTGAGTTAATGTATTGCTTAAAGGCAACCATCATTGTAATGATTTTATTTTAGAAAAAGACTATTTTTGGAATTAGCTACCAAGAGAATTTTTTCCCATTAAAGGGTTAGTCTGTGTTACGTTAGCCTCCTATTTCTTTTTTTTCTCTCTTTTGCACTATTGTTATTATTACATTATAATGGTCATATTCATCTTCCATGGCACCTAAAGATTTTGTGCCTGGAATATTTCCATCAGCAAAATGGGGTATTGAAAAACATATCAGACATTTGATGCCGAAAGCAATGGTAAACTGTTTCATCTCTTAAACTGAAGCCACTTGCCTTTTTTGCTCTCTTACCTACTGTCTACTTACTTCACAGGCATACTTAACGCCACTATGTGATCTGGTGAATTTATTTAATAAAAATTTATCTAGCCCATCATGTTTGAGGCACTGTGCCAGATGCTGGGATAAAAGAATATTCAACACAAACATGGTCCCTGCCCTAATGCTGCTTATGTTCAGTGAAGACAGATAATATTTAGCAAGTGAACAAATAAGTTCATGGAACCATTAGATTGTAAGAGGCATTCTGATCAAAAGTAGCAGAAGACAGGGGTCATTTAAGTTAGGGCAGTTGAGAAAGGTCTCTCTCAGGTCTCAGGTCTAAAAATCCGAGGCTAAGGCAGATCCTAATCAGTAATCGTGCCACTCTCTACAGTTTTCAAGTCCTATAACTTGTCCCCATGAACTAGGATTACTCTCAGAACATTTAATTTCAAGAGGTCTAGACATTCTCCCAACACCATCCCATTCACTGTCATAAAAGAAAGCTGCGAGGATGTCTGAGAAACTAGAGTGACAGGAAATAATTTAGTGCTCAGAAGTAGTAATGAGGTGGATTCACCTTGAAAAAGGGAGCCTGAAAGGAAGAAAGTACAGAAGTAGGGAAGTCAACAAATTGGCCACAATCACATTACAGATTTCACGTGCATGTAAACACTACCCTGCAGGGAAAAAAGCTACATATAATTTAGAAAGTGAGTACATTATCAGTACGGGGAAACTTCAATAACATACACATAATATATAAATATGGATTCTCAGAAAATAAAATTCAGGATGATTCTCAACAGTATGACTTTAGATAGAACATTCATAATAGCTCACTTTTATTATGTCACTTTTGTAAAAGTTATTTACACAAACACATCTGATTAATAAAAGACATACAATTTTAAACAGTAATCACAGAGCACTGAGTTATGATGCATGAAGTTAATGACATAAAAACAGGAAAAAAATTAATCTTTTGAAACAGAAAGAGAGCATTCATATTCTATGTGTTATCAGCACCGAGGTCACCAAGAATGCTGGTGGGAGAGACAGGGATACAGTCTTTCTCAAGAGTGATCTTACCACTATTAAGAAAAATTGGAAAAACTGGAAATAAAGCAAAAGAATAACTGAATAAATAAGATTATTTAATTATAGGTGAATTAATAAGTGTCTGATTTTATTATTTAGTACTGATTAGGGCCAGATTCTGTCAAGCTCCAAATTAATTTGTAGATTTTTGCCCAGTAGAGATGTAAAAGACTTCTATATGGTAGAAAACATCTTCCCAAAGGTTATGGTTTTATTGAAACTATATAACCTGTTGAACACTAACCACTTGGGTACTTACCTAGTAATGGGAGGGATCTTCAAAAAGTTCACGGAAGATTTGTATTATCTTTTAATTCCATTTTCCCATGAACTTTTTGAAGTACCCTTGTATTATTCTAACATTTTCTCTTGGATTTATATATACTCAGTCTCTTAAATTTTCTTTGAATTAGCTTTACTATCCTTCTGATTCCTTCATTAGTGAATCAAATACACCTTCGATAGGTGTTTATTCTATTATTTGAATCAGAGTCATGTTTGTATGTTTTTGAAAATTTTACATTACCACTACTAACTTAAAAATATACTTGAACTTCATATCATTGACCAGCAAAGCAACATTGCAAGTCTTAGCCATCACTGGTGATGTTCAGGGTGAATTTATTTTCACTATTCTACAAAGATTTTCAGATTTTTAAACTCTTAAAGGAGCAATGCCAAAGCAAACACATTCTCACAAAAGAAAAATACCACGGTGATTCATAACAATATTTTTATATTGAAACTAACCTATAAAAGATCTAATATGAATAAATAGAATTGATAAAATTAATCCAACTCAATATCTATTTATTTAGAAACACTAAATTTTAAGCATTCAAAATAATATTAATATGTAAATTGACAGTCAAAATCACATTTATTTCTGTCTTTTATCAAACACCTTTGGGAAAAGACTCTTGTACACAGTTGAGTTATGTAAATATAAAAAGTAGAGGTATTAGAAAATTAACTATAGGAAAAATGAGGAATCTCTAGTTATTAATAAAATAATAGGAAAAGACCTACAGTCCAAAGACATAAGAGGAGATGTGTTACTTGACTGAAAGAAATAATTATTTTTCTAATTGTAAATTTGTTCATTAGTATGCTTAGAGGTTATATATTTTTTTTTTCCTTTTTTTTGTCTTTTTTCGTGTCCGGCAACGGATCGCAACCCTCAGTGTCGCACCCGCACCGGACCGGGACCGGGACCGGCAATGGGATCGCAACCCTCGGTGTTGCGCCTGCATCTCGCTCAACCAGTGAGCGGGAACCGGTCTGTATGTGGGATCCGAACCCTCGGCGGGAGCCAAGCGGCGCACTATAGCAGTGAGCCACCGGGCCGGCCCAGAGGTTATATTTTTAATGATTAGATTGTTATTGGTATTAATAATGTGTCTGTCATACACTGGTTCACCAGGAGGAGAGCATAAACTAATTTTCCAGTAACAAGTTGCAAATTGTTCTGACATATTCACCTCTTTTTAGTCTAGCCCCATTTTTAGCCATTTGTAGTAGTGTATATTACACTTAGGCCTAAGTTAAGGCAACTAGCCTGTGTGGGTTTGAATCCCCACTCTACCTTGGGCAAGTGTATTAGTTTTTTATTTTTACTATAACAAGTAACCACAAACATAGTTGCTTAAAACATCACAAACTTCTTATCCTACAATTCTAGAGTTCAGAAGTACTAAAATCAAGAAGTTGGCAGGAGCTGCTTTCCTTCTTACGTCTCTAGAAAATAATCCTTTTCTTTGCCTTTTCTACCTTCTAGAGATCACTTGGCTCATGGCTCCTTCTTCCATATGTTGTGACATAACATCTTCAAATCTCTCTCTCATTTCTGCTTTCATAGTCTTATCCCTTCTCTGACTTTGATCTTCCCACTTCCCTCTTATAAGAAACCTTGTGATTACATTGTGTCCACCTAAATAAGACAGAATAATCTCCCCATCACAAGAGCCTTAATCACATCTGCAAAGTGCCTTTGCCATGTAAGATAACACAGTATATTTATAGACTTCAGGGACTAAGATCTTCAGTGAGGCATTATTCTATCACAGCGAGTTACTTAACCTCTCTGTCCCTGATTCCTTGTCTGTAAGATG